TGACATTTTTTTATGGATTTTCTTTCAGAGCACTTAATGTATTCATTGCTATCGGGATGTTAAGAGCATTCCATGGAATATAACAACAAGTGTATCTCGAGCTGGTTTCTCAAAAGTACCTACCCCACCTTTAATGTATGGTGTGATATTGTTCACAATTAAACAAGGTTCGGACATTAAGCATTTCAAACAGTAGGTGAGCAAGGAATATCTACAATCACACTTATTTCGAGTTATATTTCAACCATTTCGAGTAGACCATCGAACTGTGTACAGGTCATATTGAAGTCTTAACAAGAGTGTCAATCTCTCCATGTCATGAATGTCTTTAATGATCTCAATCCAATGATCGACTGAAGGAGATTCGGCCTGTGACCACTTACGAGTAATAGCTATTTTTGCCGCTGCAGGAAATATTTTCAAAAGGTATTTATAACTCCCTGTAATTTCTTCTGGAAGGTCACCCAAGTAGAGAACTACAAAAGAGAAAGGGATCTGTAACTCTAGAATATGCTCTCCAAATATCATCCCAACCAGTGACATATTTCCCTTTGTTTAGATTGTATTGCCGTGTTCACAAATCTGTACATGAAATAAAGTCACATTTTCTCCTTGCACTGATGTGACCGCTGTGCTTCCAGTGAATGAATAGATAGTCAATTGCCTTGAAGATTATTGGAAATTAAATAATGTAGTAATGTTACGTTCACGAACGATCCGATTCTTTGGCTCTTTGGTACGAACGAAGGGAACCGAGTCGTGCTTGGTGAGAGCCGTTCTTCAGTGGAACAGGTAGACATTGACAACGTGTTTTTCGGGTGATAAAATCAGCCGAACGCGAAACGCAGTAGCATTTGGATGAACTTCAACTAAAACATAGGCAATGATAAAGCGGAGTGCAACATTTGTAAAGCCAAAATATCATTTAAAGCAAGGTCAACAATTACCCATCACTAAAATAATGTGAAGGAATTTTGTCATATCGATTTTTAACCAATACACCAGTGACTGATTTCACTTTGTTTGGATTTTAATGCCGTGTTCGCAAAAACTGTCCGTGAAATAAAAGTCACATTTAGACTTTCTCCTTGCTCCCAGAGAATCGTGCCGAGGAGGCGTTCTGCTGCTGCTGCACTGCATCATGGTTTGTCCTTGAAAACAGAGACAGAAACACCATCACTGCAGCAGACTGCTTGCTCTGCAGATGCAACCCCAGCCCAAAGCGGCTGAACAGCAGGGAAGTGAAGTGGCCTGTTGGCTGAGCTCCAGCACCCGGTTAATGTTTCTGATCCTCCAGCAAAAAGTGAGCGGAGGAATCTGTATCCATCTTTAGAATCGGCCAGGCGTGATGAGGATGAGACAACAGAAATCCCCAGCTGTGGCAGCTCTGTTATAAACTGCTGCCAAATAAAACTATTGACTATCTATATAGGCTGCTGATTTATGGAGGTTATGGTTTTCTGCTTGTAGGGTAGGGAGGATAGATTATTACTAGTTATAGGGTTTGAATGACTCAACAAAATGTAATCTAATCAAAGCCACACAATAAGAACGTAATGATTACTTTCTGTTACCTCAATATCAATGCACTGCATAAAGAAACACAAGAGAGAATACATATTAATAAGGTGGCTTTTAAATAAGTGTATCACTGTATGTAAGCCAACAGAACAATGTGACCTTAGAAAAGAAGAAACCAAGATATTTAGGATTAAAAATGTGTTCTCGTACATTTTAGGCTAGGCATGAAGAGTAGTATAGTTTACAGATGCTGTTTTAGATTAAAAGAGGCCCTATTATGCTTTTGGGGGTTTTTCCCTGAACTTATTTAGGTTTTTGTGCATGTCTCAAAAGGCTAAAATCTTGAAGTTTTCCCCAGAGGGAGTTTCTCTAAAAGACTAAGACATCCACTGGTTACAGAATAACATTTCTTAAAGGGGACCTGTCATGCAAAATGCACTTTGTGATTTCTTTTATACATAAATATGTGTCCCCGGTGTATCAGGGAACTCACGCAGTGTCAGAAAATAAAACCCTTTCTCTTTTCCTCCGTACCCAAATCTTTTAAAAACGGGGGTACAACGAGCGGATACAGATTTGCTGCCGATATGACGTCAAATCGGTGGCGGACCCACAGAAAGTTGCTATCAGAAACAATGCCTGACGTGTTTTGGACGTAATCTCGTCTTTGTTTACATTAGCAAGGCACACAGGGGGATAGGCAGAGCTAACCTGTTACTGAAGAGCACATGTGTTTAAAAAGCAGGAAATAAAAAAAGGAACTCACCTTATAAACCCGCAAGAGAAAAGGCATTTGAGCTCCATACTGTTTCAGAAATAATCCTTGATGTGGTTTAGAACAGGATGGCGTTTTATCACAGCAGAATTTTACTTTACCTCCGGTAGAATTCTGATCAGGCATTAGCTCCGCCTCCTTTTTTTTTTTTTTAAGCTAAGAACCCAAAATCCGCGTTTCTCTAATGCGGCTTTCACACCAACGCGGTACCTGGGCCGGTTCAGAGCTAGAGACTGAAAAGCACAATTTTTTCCTGTTCACATCGCAGCGGAGCCGCCTCTAAGCTCCGAAACCCGGTGCTTTTCAAGCACCAAAAAATGGTCGGCCTAGAAGCAAGAACCGCATATGTCACGCTTACGTCGGAGGCAGGGGCAGGGGCAGGATCAACCTGAGCAATAACAGTTTATGGCGAGTAGTACGGCAAGTGAAAGTTGTAACAAGCAGTAGCGCTGACCAAAGTGACTAGAACACAACCACACACTTTATGAAGTCAGGCAACACTAACCAGGCTTCGTGTGATTCTGTTTCTTTGTACCTTACTTTGACCATCCGTTCGCTGTTATTGATCATTGTGGAGAGCAGGCAGACGTTTTGTTTTGTATTATAGCAGCTATCGGATGGAATCAATACCTGGACTGCACAGGTTGTCATAACTCATGTCCGACAAGAAGTAGTCAAGATAGTCAGTTTAGCTTCGGCTGCTATGCTAACATCACCCATTTCATACCAGAGAAACTTTCATAACAGTGTTGTGATGCCAAACAGCGTCAATTCNCTTTTTAATTTAAAGGGGACCTATCATGCAAAATGCACTTTTTGATGTCTGACGCTGCGTGAGTTCCCCGACGCACCAGGGACACATATTTATGTATAAAAGACATCAAAAAGTGCATTTTGCATGATAGGTCCCCTTTAAATTAAAAAGAAAAATCTTCGAATGAGGCATTGACTTACCCTTGTTCCCTTCTCGCCGTTTGAGCCGGGGAATCCTGGGAATCCAAGAGATCCCTAAATACAAATAAATATTAGAAATGTTTCTCACCATACTGAGGAATAAAAGTGTCTGATGGTTGATGCTGCGTGTGTTTTTGTCTTACCTTGGGTCCTTGTCTTCCGGGATATCCAGGAAGTCCAGGTACACCAAGTTTACCCTGAAATGAGGACATTTTTAATCATGATCATTTAACAAGAGTGAGCACATAATCTGTAATTGTTTTTAAATGTTACCAAACTGCTACACAAAACATCCCATTACAAGACTGTTAATGTTGAATAATGAAATATATGCCATGATGAGAAGAGAACATGGGAGCTCATACAATAGCATTTATAAAGCAACATGTCAAAGGTTTAGTAGACTCACACAAAGAATAAAAAACACTTCAGTAAAAATTTGTATTGTAATTATAAATGATTGTATACAATGTTTTTTTCCACTTAAATGCATAAACTTGGACAACCACAAGAGGGCAGCACAGCTAGGTTTCCTGCTTAATATTTGATCATAAAGGTGACCTTGACCTTATTTAAAGAACATGCGACTACTTGGGTAAATATGTGGGAAAAATTGGAACTTGCAAAACGAAACACCTATAATACAGTAGAGGAGACATTTGCTTGATGTGTGATGTTATGTGAAATAATACATAAATTAGGAAACGATTCCCCTAAGAATCAGTAACTTTTCTCATATTATTGAAAGCAATCATGTAATTGTGTCCTTATTGAACTGGATGTACCTTCTCTCCAACCAATCCAAGTGGTCCGAGCTCGCCAGGGGGCCCGACGCGACCCTTTGGCCCCTCAGGACCATCCTCTCCTCTGGGCCCTGACACTCCAAGCTCACCCTGTCAGCAGGAGACAAAGCAAAATATGAGAATAAATCAACAAAAAATAGGCCAAGAGTAATAACGCAGGAAAAATGGCCTTTATAGAAAAATGACAATTAAGATCCATAAATTATTGTATTAATCAACTGATCAATCAAACCATCTTACCCTCTCTCCCTTGGCACCAAAATCTCCCTTAATTCCAGGGAAACCATCTTCACCCTAGAACACGAAAAAGAACATACAGAACATGTTTAGCTAAATATTGTAATCAGACTTATGATATTTTAGATCGTGAATATGTGACCATGGCTGTTTTGTTTTCTAATACCTTGCTATTGTGACAATGAAAAATGGACATAATAAATATTGATAATCAAGTTTTATCAATCAAGGTAATTCATGAGTGTCTTGAAATCTTCGAATGTCAGGAATCACTTACCTTCTCTCCCCAGTGGCCCTTCAGTCCACGGATTCCTTGACCTCCCTGCAATCAACACATTGCATGGTCAGTACACTGTTATTCTATATTATAATACTATTCAAATCTGAAGGTAATTTAAACAGCAAATAAAAACCTCACAATAAAAAAACATTGTGCTCACTAACTGAAAACAATCAACTGTACTGACCTTGATGCCACGAGGGCCAGGATAGCCGACAGCTCCCTGGGGACCGTTGGGTCCCTGGAGAAGGACAAAAATAGAAGGGCAAATTAAGAAAATGAATACCTTAATATAATATATATTGTTAGCTGGAGGGGACCTGGTGTGATGGGGATATGATTGACACCCACCTGGTTTCCTTTGGTGCCAGAAGGCCCCTCCTTTCCTGGGTGACCCTGTAAAGTGAAAGCATCATGAAGGACATCAGGAAGGACATCCAGTGCTGGTGTATTCAACGTATTACATTTTAATGATATAAATTAAATTTAAATTGAAGAGACAAACATACAGGAGGACCGTCAGCTCCGGGCATTCCTGGAAGACCTGGTTTTCCTGTGGGTCCCTGGAAGAGAAGACAAGGTGGTCATGAGTGAGAGTGTTGGGACTGCACCTGTAACTGTTTGGTAACTGTCCTAAAACACTATGAGAAGAATGACTTGTGCCAAAAAACATTGTAGCTACCAAGCTAACCAGATATCTTAATGGCTGCACAGATCAGGGATCAGCATGCTGCAATTCTCCAATTCATAAAGTGTAACATTTGCCGTAGCCACTTTCTTTCTATGCTTAATGTGACATTAGAGAACATTTCATTTGAATATAATTAATTGTTCACAGTTTTTGGCTACTACCACCGGGGCAGTGTTTACTGGTGAGTTTTAGAGGTGCTGCTATGTGGATCTTTTTGATTAGCTCTTCTCCCCTGTTTTGAAACATTATGCTAAGCTAACCAGCTGCTGGCTTTAGCCTCATATTTAGTGGTCATATTAATGGTTTATCCTTCTAATGAAGCTCCGCGCAAGTTCAACCAGGAAGACCTTCTTTACTCATTAATTTACTATTTCCATGTTACTACACTCTCTACTCCCCAGCTTAACCAATAACTTCGCTCTATTCTCACAAGCCTACCATAGCGCTCCGCTAAACCTTTTAAATCTGCTCTCCCCTCTGACAGCTGTCATTTCAGGTGACTCGACGCGACCCTCCTCCAACCCCTTTTCACCTCCTGTCCCTTTGAATCCAGGGTCAAGCCAAGCCACTCCCCTTCAGACTGGGCCTAACCATCCATTCACCACCACCAGTGTCTAGTCCCCAGGGGTTTCATCGGATTGGTTCTCCCCTCCCGAATGATACTCCTGCACAACAGGGCCTAATCGCCAAAACTCCATTACATTCATTTGCTTATTCCTGGTAATAAATATGTATTCTTACATCAAAACCGTCTCTCCTGATTGAAACACCCTAACCCCATTTAACTTTTGTCAACAAAGCAAATGAGCATACTTCACAAATTGACTGCTGCTTTAAAAGTCTGCAATACATACAGACATCATTAAAGAATAATCAGCAGGCAACCCTGCTCCTTCTCAATGCAAATCAAGAACCATGGGGTGCACAGTGCACGTGATTAGACATCTAATCTATTTTTCGGAATAGAATAGCTTTTTTTAATACAAAAACTAATTCAGAAATCGCTTATACTTGAAAATCTGCCATTACATATTTTTGGATATACTCAAGTACAGGTCTCTCTCCATCATGAATGAATGGGGCTAAAGAATATACACTCAATGAGTTATCCTGATGATTTTATTCTATAAATGTTGATTGTTGAAAGTATTTCCTTTAACTGAGTTTACTTCCTGTATCATTCTGTATTTTTGATCCAGAGTCACTTTATATATATTTTGTATTGCTTACTTTCTCTCCTGGAGGTCCGAGGGCTCCCTGAGGTCCGGGCATTCCCTGCAAAAAGAAATGAATGAATGAATACTCACTCTCAACATTACTGTGGTAATTGTACATATGCGTTCGCAGTTGTCTCACCTGAGTTCCTCCGGTTCCCTGCTGACCTGGAGGTCCTGGCTCTCCTTGGGGACCCTGAGGGACAGGAAGAATAATGGGTGCTGATATTAATCATCTGCGGATTCAATAACATGGTTAAATGTTAACATGGTAGATAAGTTATGACCAACACTGACCAAGTTTCCTTTGGGACCGTGAGGCCCGTCATTTCCACGCACACCCTGAGAAGAAAAGAGGGTGAGAAGGAAAAATCAGAGTGGGATTTTGAACAGAATCTGTCACGAATTAACAAAAATATTTCACAATATAATTACACCTCAATAATAATAACTCACTCACTATGGTAAAGGCTTCTATCCACGCAAATTTGCAGTGGAAAGTATACTCGCTAAATGTCACTCACAGCGAAGGGTTTTGGTGATAATGCCAGCGTATATCTTTAGATTGATAGGAATCAGCAGGTACTTAAAGCTTGCTGCTTAAAGGGGGACTCTCCCAATTTTACACATAAATGTCTGTTTACAGGTCTTGTGGAATACAATTGTATAAAGCCTTTCGTGTGTCCAGAGGGCGCTGGTTGAAGTCAGATACATCTCGAGGGAGAGTTGATTTGGGCTGAAGAGTTTGAGGGTGTAAAGTTAAAAAGAAGTGAGCACGTGCTTGTTGCATAGCACACCGAAAACTCCAAACGAAATGTTGTGGAAGAAGAATGTGTGGAATGGAATAGACAATGTGTTTTGGTTGTTCTGCTTTTGTCAGACCATGTTATCTCAGTGCAATGCTAAATCAGTGCTCGCAGACCTCAACCACTGTCACCAAACAACTCTAGTACAAAGTGTTAAATGGATACTTGGGACTTGGCTGCCAAAATGCTGTGTGATTCTCTGTGTTTGTTTTGTTTTGAGGTGATTGCGGGAACATTGCATGTTACATTTTTAGATCACTGGGTATCCCCGTCTCTATGTCAGGCCTCAGCGTGTTGTTTCAGGAGGTGCCGTGGGTTTTCAGTCGTTACAGATGGATAAAACAATGCCACTAAAAATACCAGCGCCACAGTGTGGTTCAAAATTATTTTTACTCACAGGAGGTCCGGAGATCCCAGGGGGACCTTTGGGTCCGAGCAAACCACGAGGTCCCTAGAGAGAGACGAAAGCACACACACACAAAGACACGCCAATATTAGTCAGTAATCAAAGTCATAAATGATATATTTAAACTATTATATTCTAGAATAAATCACAATATAGAATATTAAGTCAATAACTAAAACAGCAATTTCAGCATTGAGATAAACAGACTAATTAAAACGCAGAAGTAAACTGTTAAATATATTGTAATGATGACTGACAAATAACATACATTTGTAACAAACTATATTGACTGATTCCAATCATTTGTGAAATGGCGCACTATTTTTCATAAAAAAGAATGTCTGTTGAAGGGAGTTATTATTTTGAATTAGGGTATTTATAGAAATAGGCATTTTATTAATTAAAGAATGATGAAAAACACAACAAATAATTTATTTTAGTTTTGTCCTCATGTGGATGGTGTGTGGGTGGATACAAAGAAATGGGTTGCCCAGGCGATGGCTTTGGCTTCATTCTTGAGTGTGTGCCAACAAACAATCATTTCATTTTTGATGTGAAGAAGAAAGATTTTCATTTATTTGTCAGACACCATTATATTATAGAAGGCTTCAGGCCAGTTTTAGGTATGGGTTGGTCATGTTTTTGTTGTTGAATGGGGTACCTGAGTTATAAAAGGATAATTTCATTAGCTCAACCCATGCAATCATATGCAATCCAATACAACTGTTCTGCCTTAAAGTCCTGATACTGTATCTTTAATGTATTTGATTACATTAAGAATGTTGACCATGTCATTATTATTTTGCTTATTTATTCTTACTTATTTATGGCGTTGATGTTATTAATGAGGAGTTTACAACCATCCAATTACATTTCAGTCTGAAGATGGTATTTATTTGTTAAGGACAATATATAACACCAACCTCACATAGTGCACGGCTATCAGAAAAAACAGCGATGTCATTTCTGATATACAGCACATTATGTTTATGTATCTTCTGTTTCCATATAATATATATGTCATATATTTAGAAGTATGGCGTTTGCACACATTTTTCTCTGTAATATATGGAATTGTTAACTGAATAATTTTTGGATGTTCTGTCAACCTGGGTAAGAACCACGCCTGCCACCATAGAGCTGGTCTGCCTATTGGTTATCATGAAGTATACATATGGGTGTGCTTTCCACTTTTTAAACATTCTGATCTGACGAAGTTCCAAGTACGATCCAAACATAGTCATTAGAAACAAATAATGTTTTTCTAGAATTATTGCACAATAAACCTGTGATCCTGGCAGCAGTTGGCTGCATCTACTATCACTGCCTTAAACATAATAACAGTGGAGATAACTACTTCAGGTATCATTGAGAAACAGCAGGTGTGAAGGTAACTGAAGTGCTACAGATGGATACACGGAAATGCATTCTGGGATGCTGCTTATAACAGAGATAGGGGAAAGCGGGAGAGATTTAAAATCAGATGTTGTCATGGAAACACTCACTGATTCACCCTGGAGACCCCTTGGTCCAATGTCTCCGTCGTCTCCCTGGAAACACACACACACACACCAAGGATGTGAATATTACTTACGGAGTTGTGAGGGGTGCCTGGAATCATTAACAAAATGTTTTTCATATCTTCCTACCCTCTCTCCGTCCTCTCCTTGAAGTCCTGCGGGCCCCAATGATCCTGTGTCACCCTAGGGAGAAGAAAAATTAGAGGAGTGAGGAAACAAAACAAAGCTGCTAACAAACAGATATTCAAACAAAGAGAGTATTAAAATCTCATACTTATCCTTACTAATGTAATTACTGCATGAATTGTATGTAGCATTTTGATTGTAATGTGCATTGGACTCACCCTGTGTCCTTTGTCCCCGGGCAAACCAGGAAGGCCATCAAAACCACGGTCTCCCTGAAAGTGACAAACATTATAAAAGACATGTTAGGAATAATTGCTGCATTGTAGTAGATGTACCAATGCATCAAAAGTGGATTTGATGCATTCATAATACAAAGTTTGATTTGCAAATAAAGTAGTGATTTTGGGGTACAAGAGTATGTGAGATGTCTCAATGGACTTTATTGTTCCAGCAAGACCAAATACAAGTTGACCTTATCGTTTTCTTGTGAAGCCTACCAGGTTGTACATTTAACAAATTCACCATAATAAAAATAATTAAGCTACATGCATCTAAACAGTAACACCACAGTAGAGATTTTTTCCCTAACTTTTAACTCATTGACTTTTAAACACAATGTCATTTCAGCTACAAACAATTAGCAAACATCTCCATAAAGGACTGACACCAGAGAAAGCGTACCTTTGTTCCAGACTCTCCTGGCATTCCCCTGGCTCCATCAGCTCCAGCACGGCCCTGTGAGGAAGAACATGTTTTAAAGGGGCTTCCGTATACGAGACACAGTCGTACCACTTGCCACACATCCCTGTTTTGTTTTTGACAGGGTATTAACAGACAGAGAGATCCTAAACAAGACTTTGGAGGGGTGTGAAAATAGATGATTCCTTGTCTGTGATGCAGACAAAACCTTTCCTGGAGGATTTTGGGAGTAACACATTCTGAGGACACACTTGTTATTTGTTTAAACATCTACACCATTTATTACAGAATATACATTTTGAGCAGCCCCTGAGCCCCCCCGGAGAAAAGAAGTTAAAAGTGATGCCCTTTTAACTTTGGGTTAGACAACAATAAAAAAAAAAGGAAAACCATTTATTTGTCATACTCACTCTTCTGCCAGATTTGCCTTGAGGTCCCATCATACCCTGGGGTCCCCTGGGGCCCTGAAGAATGGATTATCTAATTAGATGTCTGTGGTCTTTTTATCTGAGCTGAGTATAAATGTACTATAAGTTTAATTATAACCGCAGTAACTGTAAAAAGGAGAGTTCATTACATGATTTTGCATACAAACTATCTCGCTGATATAACTTTGATATGAAACAAGAGTTCTGTTTGGATGTTCTTACCTGAGAACCGGGGTCTCCACCCTCTCCCTTCAGACCATTACTTCCTGGGTTTCCCTGAAACAGAAATCATCACCATCACCATCACCATCATACAATATTAACAAAAAAAAAGAAAAAAGCTGTTTTTGCAATTAAGAGAATTACATGATCAAAATCCTTGAAAATGTAAACAAAACACCAACTCTTGTTATAAACAGGTAAGGGTCCCAATGATTGCAAACATACCAAAGGTCCAGGGCGTCCAGTGTATCCCATTGGTCCAGGAGGTCCTTTCAGAGCCATCTAGAGACAGTAAAATCTCAAAATCAATGATCATGGAGGCAATTGGCTACACAAAAGATGACCCTTCATTTAAATATAGAGCAAAGAAAGGCTTATGTCTACCAAGTCATATGTGCATACCCATTCTATACACCTTGGTCCACATCATTTTTCAAAAAAGGCAACAATCCCTGGCAATGTCAAAGCGTCAAGACTCAACTGAAATGATCCTTGATGCAAACGAAATGTGAAGTAAAAGTGAGGACTGACCCTGGCTTGAGACAAGATGGCTGCTGCCTGGGCTTCCTGTGCAGAAACGGATGGACCCTTATCTCCTCCACTCTGACCGAAACGGAACTGAAAAAAGAGAAGAACACATGTGAGTGTTTGATACATTTAATATCATTTATCAACACAACGCTGAAAAATTACTTTAACTAATAATAAGGACAAACAAATCTAAATATGATGATACAAATGTTTAAAATAATATTGAACAAGGGCCAATGTTAAATCTTAAAGGTATCCACAAAATGCAAACGTTGGGGCGAATATCACTCATATTCAGATATTTCTAATACATTTTCAAAGGATTAGGGAGACTCACAGGCAGCATGACAGATGTTCCAGGAGGTCCAGGGACTCCGTCAGATCCAGGCATACCAGCCTTACCAGAAGTGCCCTGCAGGATGTAGCGAGGGAGGGGTGAAGATGGCAGGTTCAAGGAAAGAGTGGAAGCTAAATACACTTCTTTTAAACAGACCAGTGCAAAGACACTACCAACCTGTATTTCTTCAGACAAAGTGAAACACTCACCCTCTCGCCGGGGTCACCGAAAGAGCCAGGGGGTCCAGAAGAGCCGGGTGGGCCTGTAGGACCCTGAAGGAGATGGGAAGGGGAACTTGAGTATTCTTATTCGGACTCGATGAGGCTGTCATATTCTATTTCAGCGTCAAGCACAGCGTGATAATGGTGCCGAACATATCAAATGATGGTAATTATGATAGCCTTTCAAAAATAAGTGTACCGACTATGATGTTACCTCATACTTGCATGAAGCAAATTACAGTACTGCCAAAATAACTCTGAGAATAAAGGCACTTATGTAAAGGAGTAAACTACAGACGTGTAAATGTTTGGAAAACGGAAAATGTGTTTCGAATAAAAAACAAGGAGATAAACACAATGTACTTACAGCAGCTCCCTCAGGTCCGGGAGGTCCTTCAATTAGCATACCCTGCAAAATACACAATAAAGTTAGAAATGTAACGAAAGGGAACAAAAAAACCCTGACAAACATCCAATGGAGATCAGTGCAAATATTCCTGCAATTAGGCTACTCTGTTGTTTATTTGAAAGTACAATTGTAGTGCTATTTTTTAAAGCAGAAAACGTGTGGATCCCACTGTGGGGATCTGTTCCTTTTCAATGGCTACATCAAATGCATAATAACTAATGACAATATTATAAGGTAAAAGATGCAAAGGAAAAATACATGAATCAGTTCAGATGACAAATGGAAATGTGTTGTGGCTTTACTGCAAGGTCAACGGGCTAAGGTTTGTCCTTCAGTCTTTGGATGGACATGGTTACGGTTACTTGAATGACGAGCTGTTTAAGCTAGGGAATTTGTCAAGCTCCCAACTGGAAATCAGTAAGATAATGTAGGTCACAGCCAACCCCTGGAGCTTCTTGGGAAAGTGACGCTTTTGTCTTTCTGTCCCTGAATGATCCAGTTCAAATCAAATGCTCAGTTAAAGACAATAAGTAACTCACAGGCTCCAAGACAGCAGGGTCTCCTTGTTCTCCTTTTTGTCCTCTGACGGCGGCCTGAGGAAAACACACATGTAGCCAACAACACAGCATAGTCAGTATAGAGATGCACACACACACACTCATAGAATGCAGATTTGGCTGCATGCATTTTGACAACAGGTGCACATGTACATACATACACCCACAATAGTTTGCCACATTAATATGCAAGTGTAGAAAATAGAATGATAAAAATAAAAACCTGTTTTGCTTTTGTTATAAGCTTTGGCTGAAATGATGATGATGATGATGATGATGATTCAATAGTTCTGCACACTTTTGGTCTATTACTTAGCATCGATCATCATCTGGGCTTAGCAGCACTTAATGAAGCCATGCACTGCAATAAATGGCATTTTAGAAAAAGGATGCAGCAATCGGTTACTGCTGCACTTCAAAATGCCTCTTTATGCAGTGTACACAATAGTTCAAGTTATCGTTGTGTTTATCCATAATGGCCTGACACTCAAACAAGTACTTTGAGAGGACATTGAATAACATTTGACCAAGATAAGTATTCAGAGTTAGTTGAAACTGGTTTTGTAGTTTTTTTGCGTCAGGAGCAAAACAACTTACGCCTCCCTCATCTGTCACAGCGGACAGGGCGTGACCCATGTTGGCATCTCCATTCTCCTGTATTGGCTCATTGTAGTCCCTGTAGGAATAGTCGTATTCCTTAAGGCCCAAGTCCCCAGTCACATACTCCTCAGTGAAGGGTTCCTCCAGCACCCCGCCTGCCTTGGTGGCATCTACCTCCTCTCCCAGAAACGTGGTCTCCACCTGGGGCTGGTTTGGTTTATCAGAGCCGCAACAGGATAGATAGAGGGGCGAGAGAGGAGGAATCAAGCGAAGGAAAATAGAAAGTCAAGGGAAAGAAGGAAGGAAGAGAGAAAGGTATGTATGATGGGGAAATAGTTAGTAAAGAAAAAAGAAATATAGAAGCAAACAACAGGGGGAGTGGAAGAAGAAGGCATATGTAGAAGGAAGTGAGTCTTACCTTTTGCAAATAAACAGTGACACATGGACAGAAATAAGACATCTGACAGGCTGTGGGGACCTTTTCAGCCCTTAATGCTGTAAATTCAGTCTGATTTTTTCAGTTGAATTACGGATTAGCAGGTTTTTCCTGCCATTTCAAATCTCCTGTTAATAATCTATTATTGAGACTATAATAGTATGTGTTTTGACCAAAGCGTATCCTTATCAGCTTGTGTGATGAGGGACTTCTCCAAATATATTATTTCACATTTGAAATGTTGGTTTAAAAAGAGAGACAGAGAGAAATGCAAAAGCACTATTAATCTCAATGTCATGCTTGCCTTTTCCCTTGACACACTTAACTGATATGAAGCACTTTGTGAAAACAAGTTGCAATACGCTATGCTTTGCAAAGCAAAAACTATGTTATTTTCTATTTTACTTACCATGGGTGTTTTTAAAACAAATGAATCCAGTGGAATAATGCTGTACCGTTACCTCATACAAAAATAGTTTTAAACTCAAACAAATGTGCGTATTTGGTCGTAAAATAAACCCTTCTATAATAGGCACCAAAAAATTCATGGCGTCAACATTGGAAAACAAAACAAAGTCATCAAGGTCAGCTAATATACATGGATGATAAAAGGGTTATAAAGACAATACGGTTTATTGCCAAAAACAGGTGAACTGTGAGAAACAGATCAAAACTGAGAAACTCATTCTCAAATTCTGATATAGTTTAGGGCTGTAAGGTTAGCCACAGCAACTACTGTATTCTTTAGTTCAGTTAATTTTTCTCTCAAACCAGAATGCATTATATTCATCTCCATTTGTTGCTTTGGTTAAATCTGCATATCGAATATTCCTATGCGGATCCATTTTTCCACAAGATTGTTGTTCTTATGTCAAGATAACAACCTGATCAACAGAATACCTTGAGATGAGAACAGGAATCTTGTTGTTAGGGGAGAAAAAAGGAGCCACGTACGAATATTTGATGATACAAGCAGATGAATGTCATGCATTCTCTTTGAAAAAGATTTTTTTTCTTGTTATGTGGCATCGGGGCCAACAAAACATTGATGTGTGGTTAGAAGAGAGACACGGAGTTGTACTACTTGGTTAAACTACAAAGACTGGGCTCACCACCACACAAGTGTTACACTCTCTTCTACCTTTGGCGATGGAGGTCTCTTGTATTGAGGCGCTGATTTCTTCCTGTATTTGTCACTGTAGGCTAATCGGTAACTTCTGTTTCTTTATATTTTACTGAGCAAAAAAGAAAATCTATCTGTAGAAATCAATAATTTTCATGTATGTTAATTATAAAGTTGATATAAAATGTTTTGGACTATTTAATTTTTCTTTATCTGTGTGACTGACCAGTGTGTAATTTTCTTTTTTACCTGTACAGGGATTTCTTCCTCTCCAATCACCTCACCCTCTGGCACCGTCTCCTCATAGTAATAATCAGTCTCTGTAGGGGTGTGGCCAGCCTCGGAATATTCAGTATCTACATCCTGATTGCTCAAGTTGACAGGAATTGGGTTGCAGGGAGGAAATAAGCAGATTTGAACGGAAGAGCGCGGTTAGTTCAAATTCTGCTTGTAAGTTATGAGTCAAAATAATAAAATGGAACACGTCATAAAACTGTGGTTGCCAGTGCTGAAGGAAACTTTTTTAGCGGCAACTCACATTTTTAAAGTTGTAAAGATCCATTTTACAAAAGAAATGTCAGGTTTCAGGATCTCAATAACTATAAATGTTGCCATATGCAAGATTTAGGGAGTCATTGAGTCTACTTTGCTGAGAATTCTTTTTATTGTATTGGTCAACAACTTTTTAAAGTTCACAAAGCCAATATTCATGAAAGGTGGAAGTCTCCTCTTTTTGGAGGTAGGACTGAGAGCCTCTATCCATCCCTTAAGATAAAAACATCAGAACTTGATGCTTTGGGATGTTTAGTTTCACCCAAGACCAGAAAACAGAGAGACAACCCAAATCAGCAGCCTCACAGAAAACAATCCAGTTAATTCCAGATTTTACATCTCTTTCCCAGAACCCACTAATGACCATGAACCTCACAAGGTCCCTCAACCTTAAAGCAGGTCAGCGTCATAATAGAGTAGACATTTCATGAAGTTAAACTTCTACAAAAGCACACATGCTTTTTAGTTTCTGTGAGGCTGCTTTATTCGTATTTGATACAAAATATGGCAAAAGACAGGGAGAGAGAAAACACAGGTACTTAAAACTAACAAAACAAGGAGAGAATGACAGAGTAACAGAGGAGGTTTGTTGTGTTGCTTGTGTATAGAATGTGATAGTATTTGTGTTTTCTTAAGTTTAGTTTTTGTGCCATAGAAATCCATGCTCATTCATTTCACCGGTACGTTAATGTTTTCCCCGAAAAGAAAGAGGTGGAGTGCTGCGTATTCAGTTCCTGAGATCCAGCATCAACAGCTTGAAGGAAGTATAGGGAAGTAAAGAACAATGAAACCGTACAATAAGCCATGCTTCAATGTGCACCGCTGTATCATATCATATGGAGAAGTTGGGGCAATCGTAAAGATCATATGATATATAAGAAGGCACCCAGCTTGGTATGAACCAACTTCCATTCTGATGACCAGATTGTCCACCATCCAGGATTTAACTCAACATCTGCACTGCAAGCCACCTATTTAAAGATGAAACTATGCATACAAAAGACTGCAAACGAGTTGCAAACCCTAGATGGTGAAACGTTCTGGCAACCAGATGGGACAGATGGGACATACGACTCTGGACATTCTGACCCAAACATGGTCCTTCTTGTTGTACCTGTTGATAACCGTTGGTATTTTTCTTCGCTGGGACTGAAGTTCCACCCAGCATAGTCTTGCCAAACGGTGGGAATGGTTTGTGCAGGGACTTGACATTATTGTCGACCGCCACCTTTGGTTTTGTAGGTCTGGGTGGAGTGGGCTGGACAGGGGCAGATGTTGAAGCAACTTTCTTCTGGATGGTAACCTTTTCGATCACATTCTTCAAAACTTTGCTGACGCTTGTTTTGACCAGAGGGACTTTGGTGACAACAGTTTTCACTTTGGTGACCTCTTTGACTTCCTTTGCTGGAGGTTTCACAGCTGGAGCTTTGGTGGCCACAGGCTTCACTGTTTTTGTAGGTTCAGGTTTTGGTGCTTTTGCAGGTTCAGGTTTTGCTGCTTTTGTAGGTTCATGTTTTGCTGCTTTTGTAGGTTCAGGTTTTGCTGCTTTCGTAGGTTCAGGTTTTGCTGCTTTTGGAGATTCAGGTTTAGCTGCTTTTGTAGGATCAGGTTTTGCTGCTTTTGTCGGTTTAGGTGCCTTAGTAGCTTCTACTTTGGCATCTGTTTTAGGTGCAATGACCACAGTCTTTTCGGTCTTTTCTACTTTGACAACTTTTTCAGTCTTTACTTTAGTAGTGGTTTCAATTTTTGCCTTTACAGCTTTCTTTTCTACAACAGTAGTAACTTTGCCATTGGCCTTGGCTTTAGCCTCACCGCTGACTTTACTCTCAGTTTTGCCATTCATTTTGACTTTAACCTCTTTAACCTCAATAGTAGTTTTGCCATTTCCATTGGCTTTCTTCTCTGCTGTAGCTTTGCCATTGCCATTTCCATTAGTATTATACACAACAGTGGCTTTTCCATTTCCATTGACTTTCTTTTCTGATGAAGATTTTGCATTTGCATTACCATTGACTTTCTTCTCAGCTACAACCTTGCCATTGCCATTCCCATACACCTTGGCCTGAGCTGCTGGCTTGGCATCAGCTGTAGCTTTACCATTGCCATTAGTTTTTGTTACAGCTGCTTTTCCATTGCCATTGGCTTTAGCTGCACCATTTGCTTTCTTTTCCATCGTTGGTTTGCCATTCTTAGCTGGAGCAGCTGCTGGCTTAGATTTAGCTGCTGCTGTTGGTTTTATCTTAGAGAACAGGATCTCTACAGCGGAGGGCTTAGCTTTGGTTGCCTTGGCTGCAACAGTCTTGGGGGCTTTGGCAGGCATAGGCAACTTGACGACAAGTTTGGATGGAACAGTCTTGGCTGGCTTAGCAGAAGCTGGTTTTGGTTTGACAGGAGTGGATTTAGTGGGGACGGATTCTCCATTGATCACCTTCTTCTAATATCCGTGATTGTTTTGTTTTTTGGTTGGGATGGTGTTTAGTATGTAAAAGTGTATAATGATAAGAGAGAGTGGAGGAAGACAAAGATACACGGAAGGGTTGGGAGGGGGATCAAAAGCACAAACAAGGGTTGGACAGAAGGAGAGAGAAAGACAAGAGTGGATGTTTTGAGAAACAATGACATTAAGATGGCCAAGGCTTGGATGATTTACTGAGACTGTACAGGCATTACTGGATACAGCTGAGGATTAATTCACATTTTAAAACAGTAAACAAAAATACAGCTGGATAAGAAAATTCAAAATTCACATTTTAAGAGGTTTATGGTTTTTGCTGATTTCTCCAGTAATGCCATTCCCAATATTAAATTAAAAAGCAGCATATTTGCACTAATAGGAACTGGAGCCTGTGGTTTGGCAGAGGCACTAAGGGTGTGACTGGTCAGGTGAAGCTGGTGCTAAACAAGCACACACACACACACACACACACACACACACACACACACACACACACACACACACACACACACACACACACACACACACACACACACACACACACACACACACGACACTACACACACCACACACACACACACCACACACACACACACACACACACTCACTCACTCACTCACTCACACACACACACACACACACACACACACTCACTCACTCACTCACACGCACACATACACACACTGTATGATGCACTGACAAGTCAAACTGCAGGACGAAGAGGTTGACTGCTTGTTAAGCTATGCAAGAGGGAATATGGATGCCAGGGGAGCATGCAAATGCATGTTAGTAACATAAAACAAAAACATGAAAACAACAGTAGATGATTCATTCCTATTGAACCAGTCATGCTGTTATAATGAAAATACATGCAAATGAACATTTAATTTACAAAAAGTTCACTCGACTAATATAGTATGCAGAGAGAAATGTCCATCATTGTGAGTTAAACACCTTAAATATGCAAGAGCACAAACAGTCTTAAAGACAGAGACTTTGGCTACATGTGTGTCATTTGTATACCATACTGAGGTAAGGTGTACAATTATGAATTCTTATATCAAGACAAAAACACGTGCATTGACATTCCCATGTTGCCTGGGAAATTTGTATGGAAACCGATGACCCAGAAGTACAAGCATGCGGTGACATCCTTTACAATAATTAAGAAATCATGCAAGTAACAAGACAATACAGACACATGCCCTGGTCAAATGGTATTGCAAATATTTCTGTGCTTTTTGTGCTCATGTGTTGAGGTATCTGTTGAAAAGCTGGGTGTAGTCGAATGAATGCTAAAAGTGTTGTGCCGTCACAAAGCATTTGTAAGTCAATTTATTGATGCTTTCTGCGATAAGCAAATTAAAACCCATCGTGTGACGAAGTTAGGTACAATTCATATTTTATAAATAACACAACTTATTTACAAAGGCTGTAAGACAAAGGTCAGTTTAAGAAAAAAGGAGATTCCCAATAATCATGTAATCCATTAGTTTTATATTGTAACTTCAACAGATCTACAAATTAAAAATAAGAAATTGATATCAAGTAATCTCAATAACAGGCAAATATATTTTGTTTTTATCTGATTAACAAATGACCTATTTAAGGTGACCCTTTATGTGTCTAATATGTTATGCTCTGTTGTTATCTTTGCACTTGTATATTCCAATACATTTTGTGACACCTGTTCATAAACACAGGATATATAATGAAGGAGTGCAGACTGGAGGAATGTGAGAAAAGGCTTGCATGTGTGTATAACAACACAGCTGCACCTACACCACCCTCGTGCCCCCACTTGGCCACATCTGAACACACATACATATACGACAACATGTAAATGACATGAGAACAACAATAATCAAAAGGTGCAAAGGTAATCCTGTGTGACGGAGACGGTGGAAGCGAGGTGATTGTGTCAATGTGGATTAAAGAAAATGTGAAATGTGAATAAAACAAAGGAGGTATGGATGAGGGATGAGAGAGGCATATGAAATGCTAAAAGTGAAAATGTAGATTTGATACCAAATATTTTAGGGAAGATGTAATACAAATGTGGTTGATACTCAAATACTTGGCTAGCTAAAGCTATATTATTGATAAATCCTCAGTTATTGCTTCAATACCTCTCTCTCTCATTATCCTTCCCTTCCATAACCCCGCTGGTGTTTTCCCTCTCTCGTGCTCCCTTTTTACCTGTTGACTGGGGGCCCAAAGTTGGGGAGAGGGGGACGCAGAGGAGGAGGGAATGCCTGTTGTTTCCTCATAATAATAGGGGTATTCATGGTCATCCTGCTCCTCATCAAAGTACTGAGAGAGATGGGGGAGGATTGAAAGATGGAGGAAGGATAGAGGGAAGAATGAGATTGCAGAGGGGGACATAAAAGCAAGAGGGATGGAAGGAGAGGAATGCATGGAGAGGGGGGGGGTGGATATCCACACAGAGGTGAATAGGGGTTCGCCAGATAAATGAAGGTAACAAGGATAGGGGTGAGTGTAGGGAACAAATAAAACATGGTGATAGACAGCAAGAGACAGCAAAGGTGATACAAATAAAATGCTACGTTTTTATTTTTCCCTTCATCAGAAGGAGTCTGTGCTGCTGGTTAAAATATGTTCATATTAAAAAATGCACAGACCTCCTTGATGAAACAGAAAAACATAATGGGTGAAGCCAATGAATAAAATCACACAGATTTATATTCATTCAGAAAGCAGTCATTTCAACAGCATCAACAGGGACGCAAAGGGTTGGAGCTCTGTACAGTGACTGATACAATTATTGTATTGCCTGATCCGTAATGCAGGCTTATAAAATAAAGGTCATGTACTTTGGATGCATGAATGGGGATGCTACTCTAGCTAATGTGGCGCAGCTGGTGTCAGGGAATCCCAAATATCAGTATGTTTTTGACAGAAAAAGGGAGAGAGCTTTCATGATTATGACGTATGTAATGTGTTCAACCAGTCTCAGTAAGCAAAGAGGCTCCACCTTAAGCCATCTCCATGTCATATGCCTATATGTCTCAATGTAACCAGAGAACCAATCAGAATGTATCTTTGTTCGCTTGTTCGATGAACTCTTTCTTTCAGTCCATGGGGGAAACAATGAGGGAAAGACACGTTGGCTTGTATCATCCTCTTTCCCCTACCTTTCTGTGTTCCATGGCAGAAAAAAGTAACATTTAATCCACTGCTGTAACAATACAAGCTTATGTTTCTCCAATAAGATGGTGGAAATGTGCCCAAAGGTGTGATATCACCATACCTCTACTTTTCTTTCTTTACCTCAGGGACACACAGACCAGGGAGGAGAGGAGGAAAGTGGATGGATACAAACTGTTGCTAACGATGGGGATGCGTGAGGAAGACAGAAAGAGAGAGCAGCACTTTGATGACATCAACAGATAACAAACTGAACCTGAGGACTTTTCTTTCATTTTCAGACGACAGGTGCGTTTAGTGTGGCCTTTCTTTTACTCCTAGGCCAAATTGTTCATGCAGTATAGCTTTCCTAACACAAATCAAATTTTGAAAGACTGCACTTATTTGGTCCTTGGAATTGATAGAAGTGACACAGAAATGTCTAAAGTGACATCGATGATAAAAGTCAGATGAACATTATTTATGTTATATTTGACCCGTGGATCTGGGTTTCTCTTCGTTTCATTTTTCCACTTTGAGAGCCTTCTTCTAATTGATCTTCTATTTTTCCTACACATCTTTCCTTGATCAAAGGAAAGGAACAAAATACAACGACAACACTAAGATTATTTAAGCACCGTGTATAGGTTATCTTTCTCCAAGTGAATCATTATTGAGAAACGTGCCACAGAAAAGGAAAACAAAGTCCACAGATCACGTTTGGTCTGCTTTATCGGAGCTACAGATGAGCCTACAACTTTAGGGATGAGTTGCGTAAGCATAATGCTTAGCACTATTAGGTTATTAGATCGGTATTAAATGCTAGTAAGTAGTCTCGTTAGAGCTATGGGATTAATGTTGAATGTAACAACTGAGAGACCTCATCTCCAGTTACCTCAATGAGAGGGGAAAGTGTGTGAGTAAAAGATGTAGAGGCTAGTTTTTGTAGCCTTTGGGAACGTTTTCAGATCAACTCGAGTTTCATACGTGTGAACGACCACATTTTGGTTTTCATAAGTCTGTGGATGGACTTGTGTTGTGGCTGTGTTACTCACGTATGTGTTGGGGTCCTGAGCCTGGGTCTTGGGGATCGGGGAGTCACAGTCAGGGCTGTAGTGCTCACAGTAGTCATAGGCAGCCTGGGGGTTGGAGGCGATCAGCAGTTGCTGGATATCTCCCTATGGAAGAAAACAAACAGATTCCCAGCTGCATCATCTATTACTGGGCATTATGTAAACTTCTATGGAGGAAAATATTATATTAATGTTTTATTTTACTTGTACTTACTTTTAATTATTCACATCTTACACTGCACTATAACTTGTATTCATGTACCTGTGTTATTCATGTTTTATTATCAAGGTTCAAGGCTTTTATTGGTCATACGAACATAGCTAGTGTAGTTATGACGATGGAAATCTTAGGTCACAGGCTCCTCCAACAGTGCAACACAATAAAACAGACAAACAGAAACAAATAGTGCAGGTAAATAGTAAATACAAAAATAAAAATAGTAAAAAAGTGAAATAGTGAAATAGTGCAATAAGAGTATACAAGTGATTGGTATATGATATATTACATAAATGATTTCTAAGTAGCAGCCAGATGAATGTTATGGATGTTGTTTCAATGTTCAGGTGTTTAATAGTCTTCTGGCCTGTGGGATGAAACTGTCCCTGAGTCTGGTGGTTTTAGTCCTGATGCTGCGGTACTTTTGCTTTTTAATGTTTCTAATGTGTTGTGCTATATAAACTTGCCTTGCCTTACCTTGCCTTTACTTCAAAGATAGTACTTTGTATGCGTAGAACAATCAGTTAAACCATGAACAGCGTCCCTCGCAGGTTATCCAAAAAAATGGCCTTACCTGGAAAACCTCCTCATCGAGCAGGCGGGCTCCGAACACTGTGATGCCGTTGGTGTCCACCTCTGCATGGTTGCCGCGGGGAAGGGGGCGGGTCATCTTCTTCTTGCAGTCCAGCAGCAGTGTCACATTTTTCTTGGAAACAGAGATAGCAATGCGATGCCACCTAGAGACAAAGAGGAGGAAGCGAAGGCGAATAAATTTGTACTGTGACTACAGGCCTGATTAGATAGGTCTCAAACCAACCCTTACACCACATATACACTCCAACTCTCACACATACTGCCCCACCCCTATAATAACCCCAAACATGTCATCTCAACCAGTCACAAGCCGGTTGTTGCTGGTTACTGACTTGCCATCAGCCAGGTTGACGCCTCTGAACAGCGGGTAGTCTTCAGGGGCTGGCTTGCCGTTCTGGTCCTCGTACAGGAAAACAGGGGAGCGTCCCATTTCAATACCCAGCTGCTGGATGCCCTGCTCGCTGTAGATGGAGAGGAGGAAGGCCTGGAGACCAGACTGGGCCTTAACCAGGGCCATGATGGAGAAGTTCTCCGGGAATCGACCTATTGATGGTGGAAGGGAGGGAAGGGAGGAAAGAGGCAATGAAAGAAAGAGAGAGTTAGATCATAAACATGGGGTGAGTGTTTTAGGACAGGAAGAAAATAAGAAAGAGGCAAATGATAGAGAAAGCAGCCGAAAGAAAAGCTGACCGAACTGCACCAGAACATTTCTTCATCATGGCAAAGGAGGAGAGGCAGGATAACAAGGTTTAAAGTAGGAATGTGGTCGTGCAAGATAAGACATGTATGTTGCGAAAAAGGTCATCAGTGATGAGCCTAAAGGGGATCTGTGTCAGGAGAAAGTGCTTTCAGAATAGCAGTGTTATTCCCTCAGGGCATACTGTAGGTGACAAAGACACATAATAACAGGTGGGCAGAGATGGAAGACTAAACTTTAGAAAATGAGTCGAAATCAACATTGACTTTTGAGGATTTATTCACAACCACATAAGTGCTACTTTCTCTTTATTGCTCCTCACTCCAGCGTGTCAGACAGTATCCTTAAGTTACTTTCTTTTGGCTCTCCCACACAGCTTCACTCAACTCCTGCACTCCACCACACAATTATGCTTTAAATCCATGAGCAATCTAGCCTCACTAAACCCAAGAGAGCTGAGTTTAAAATACCTCCAAACATAAGTAGCAACCTGTAATTATAATGATAGGTTTCTGCACTCTGGAATTCATTGTAAATATGTTAAATATAAAGATTATCCTGTCCTTCTTTACTGTTACCACAAAGTCAAAAAGTTGGTTAAAAGACATGCATGAATGAAGGTTTAAAACAAACAAACATTAACATTAAACAACATTTTATAGAAAAAAAACAAGTTACATATTTGAGCCACTATCAGACCTACAACTTGTACAATGACATTTCAAGGGAGGCTTAAAGATATGATCACAGCATGCACTAGCCTGAGGGAAACAATATATTACTGCATTCTAATAGCTTGATTTTATTTGTAATATATCATACAGAGTAAACTGCATAGCCTAACATTTGTTCTCTTCTTTTTCCCTTGAGAAAATACTTTGCCCTTATATTGTAAACCTTACTGCTTTGGCAATATTGTACCTCATTTCAGTCATGGCAATAAAGCTACGTTTGAACTTGAAGGTTAAAAAGAGGAAACAAAAAATAATGAACAATCAAATAAAGAGCCAGCTGTTCATTCAGTTGCTCTCCAATGAAACAATTCTGTAAAAATAAAAGCATAATTAAATTAGCAAATTGAGCAAAAGGGATTATTTAGTTTACTAATCAGGAATATTCAGCTTATCATGATGTCCTCTGTGGCTCTGATTGGAGCTCCTTAAAGTCCTCCAACATGATGGAAATGCAAAAATAAAGTACTCCTTCAAGCCAGTCATATTGAAATGAAGATTTCTACTTGTTTTCAATATGTTGGAAATGCTGTATTTCCATATAGTCCAACGATCTAATCCCCCCATACGGGACTGTCAGCCTACCTGAGAAGAGCTGCTTGGTGGGGGCAGAGATCTGGGCCTTCTTGCTGATGCGGTAAGCATGGTCGGGGGTGCCGGAGCGGCGGGACGTGCAGAAGCCGGGGACTTTCTTCACGCCCTCAGGGAGAGAGGGAACCTGCAGAGCCCGCAACACATCCACTGGGTCTGAGGAAGAGAGAAATACTGTCATTAAATGTTGTTTTACATTTCAAAACGTAAAGCCTAAGTAATGTAACACCAGACGATTACATGCATTCATCGATAAAGGATCTAACTTTGACACCTTTTTCTGGCCATTAGCACTTTCTGCAGATATGGAGGGGACATACGGAATATACACATTGATTGAAAACACAATTGATTACTCATTAATCATTCAATATTGACTACCTTTTCTGCAAAAGCCTCAGAAGGCCCGCCATCCTGTAAACCTCAACACCTTTAAATGTACTCCTATACTTTTGCATTGTTGAGGTCAGTTTCATCTGTCATTGCAGCCATTATTTTTCAGCTGCAGAAGCCTAACTTTGGATACAAAAAGTGAATCTTGCAAGTCATCTTAAATGGTCTTGCAGCTCTAATGCGATATAGGAGCAGGTATGGGGGATGTCCACAATGGAAACCACTGTATATATGTATAACGTAAGAAAGGAAGCACTGTGTCAAAGTAAACTGGCCAGAGTCCAAGCCACATATAGTTAAGCTCAGTTTAAGTCTGAACGCAGACAGCTGCCTCTATTCTGCTCACTTTTATCAAGCAACAAGTGGCCGTTGACGTGATAGTGCTGAGTCAGGTGAATATTTGAGGACACACAAGCATCTCACATGACATACACAGAACGTGCACACACACTCCAGGTATTCAGTGTACACAAATACACACACAAACTGCCCAGCCTCACATCCTCTCTCCACTCTCACACGCTGAGGTCTGTTTCTCCACCCTCAGTCTGCACCTCCATGGCTTTCTCACATTGCTCAAAGGCACTGCGTCAGTCTGTGTGTTTCAGTTTGAAATGTATGGCTGTAGTTTCTCAAATGTAGGGTTTTATTTCCTTTATGACCACCAGAAAAAACTCAACTGTAAGACAAGTTTGTTTTAAAGCAGCCATGTTTCTTATGTTATATTTCATTTCATGGGATACTATACATTACATAGAAATAAAAAGTAGCAAAACTACAGAGCAAGAAGGAAAATCAAAGTCACAGGTACTAATTTAGCAGATATATTTAAAAAAAAAAAGTCCTCTTAAGTCTGTATTATTGTTTTGGATTGAATGAACGGATCATTTAAAACATAATATACATTTAGTTTGACATACTTGGAGGCACTTATTTCACCACAGGAGTTAAATCTTTAAAAACAATGGATGTCACATGCGTTGCGAACACTTTTGCTCAGTCTGGTTGCGTGTTGCTTTATACATTTCAGTATCACGCTTTTTGTGATATTTGCTCAAAAATGGGTGGTTTATGCTGCACATTTCTATGGTGTAACTATGGTCCCAAATTGCCGAGCAGACGTACCCTGCTGTCAGGATGGAATGACAAATATGCATGACTTAAATTCTGCCAAGATTTCAAAATAGAATGCTTGCAAACTGTTCAAACTCAGAAAACCCAAATCTAAATGTAATTCAAAGTCATCATAGACAGTTAGAACATGTTGATGGGTCCCTATGGTTTTAAACATCACCCAGTATTCATATTTTCCCAAACTCAGTTATCCTGCCTCCCTCTTGGCTAGCCTTCCTGTGTTTGAGGTGCTCCAGAGAGCGAACTCTGCTGTTAACAGCCAATTAAAGTCATTTACAGCCGGCCCTGCTATGGCCCTTCTCATAATAAACTTATGGTGGCAGTGATGCATTGGCTGTGTAAAAACTACAGCTCTAAAGAAAACATAACAACCGGGTCCTCCTGCGATGCGGCCTATGAAGTTACTGGTTTGCTTTCATTCAGCAGCCACTTTAATAAACTGTCATTTACAGGTATGGAAAAATCATATAAGTGCATATAAAACCATATAAATGACACAGGGAGCCCATTAGCACTTGGGCCACTGTTGTTACATACTTTATAATAACTATTTGTACATGAAATGCTGTAAAGTGCAAAGGTCAGCAGGAGGCACAGCTGTCATCAGAAACCAACATATAGAGCCACAATCAAAGACTCACAGCACTTTATAATAAAACAGAAACTAACATGCATGATTTTTTTTATAAATCTGGCAACTAACTTAATTTTCATCGAATAAGGATGTTTTATATTGGGTTCAATTTTGAAGTTTTCTTTTGTTTGTCCTGAAACTCACTGATCCCATCAGTGGTGCTCGTGTTTAGGTGGCACCCAGTTTCTGAGAGTTAACAGTTAGTCCAATAGGCCCACAGCTTGTAAGATGTATTCAGACAGAGCAAACGGTGTGTTCATATCACTCTCATGGTGTCTAGACCACAGGCAATTAACGTCACTCGACACCAGAGGCAGAAAGAGGAAGAGGATGGGGAGAAAGAGATGGATGTATGAGCAAACAATACGCAAGGAGGAAAGAAAGTGTGTGTTGGATTGAGTGGTGTTGTACCAGTAGATTTAGGCAGAAATGAGTAGTTATCAAAGGTAGAAAAAAGGGAGAATTGTTCAAGAGTTGTGCTTTTTTCCAGGCGTCAATGTCTAGTTAGACCATCAAATGTTATAATATTCAAAACAGGAACCTTTATAAAAGGACAGAAGAAAAGAAATACACTTTTTTCATGTTTTTCCTGACTTTTTTTTTAGAGGGCACTGAATTTGTTTTCCACTTTTTTCAAAACGTTTGCACATCTTCACAGGAATGCTGGGAATGAGAAAGAGGTTGAAGGAGGAAAGGAGGCAGAGAGAGGTTCAGGCAAAGGTGCAGTGTGTGTGTGTGTTTTGGGGGAGGTCAGGGAGTGACAGTAGACAGCGTGGTTCTATGATGGCAGGGTACTGGATCAGATTGCAGCCCGAGCCCCACCAGTACACCCAGTACAATGTGCCGCTCTGTTCCCCGCTCACATCTGCAGCCGGGGCCCTTCCTGCCCGGAGGACCACAATCACGACAAAAAAACACCCACAAAAATAACACGGGGCCACAGAGGCGCACACTCACTCTGCCGGGGCAAGACAAACTGCAGCGACACACCTCACGAGATGAGGAGAGGTAAATATGAAACAAGGTAGAAAAACAGAAAGTCAGGGGGAACAAACTCTCTCTCTACTTTCTTTTTCACCCTCGGCCTGCTCCATCGGCCTCTCTCGCCATAAGCGCTCACAGATGGCTAAACTCTTTTGATGTAAACACGGGACAATTACACTGCAGTCATTAAGGCAGGAAAAACGGGAGGCAGGTGCTGTAGGCAGAGATTACAGTAGCCGGTACAGTGATTCCCACTGACAGCTGCTAAAATAAATCGAAAACCATTTAAAGTATATGTGACACTGATTATATAACACTAAGCCTTCATGACTTCTACCTGATGTTTTTGAGATTTAATTGAATTTTTTTTTTTCAAATACGGGGAATAATCTTGTATAGACTTTTCTTTCTAAACATTTTCATTTATCGTATTAGTGTAGTGCAAACAGCTAAACTAAACTACACCTTCAAAATTGAAAAAAAGGGATTGTGAGATGAGATGTGCCGGCATATATACATTTGAAATCGTGTCAGTATATTTTGAAGGTTTGAAAAACTCTTTGCAGTATTTAAAAGCTCAAATCAATGCTTATGGTCAATATATAGCTCATATCTACAATTTACCAACATTTCAAGAAACTCAGAAACACCAGGGGTGACTTTCTTACATTCTGAATAAAGTAAAAATGTTCGTAGTGCTTGATTCTCTCATTGAGGTAGTATGCAAACCACTGAAAGTTGTATAAATATAATCAAACAATAATGATATGCCGTTGGTGTATAATGGTGCACTGTACTGCATGTATGTTTTCAACAGGTGTCTCAGGTCTGAAACAATCCAATCATTGTTACACTCTAACCCACTCAGAAGCACACAGCCACAAGTGAGCAAACATGCAGACCACCAGCCTAACGCAACCTGATAGAAAACACATGTGATACCCAGGGTGGCAGTCACACCGCAGAAGGGCTCTTAAGGTGCTGCTTAAACTGCAACACTTTTCGTGTGCATGATTGTAGTTTCCCTCTATCACCACTAGATGGAGCTAAAAGTGATTGCAATCAAAGTCACACACTCACATGAAGTGAGAGGTGGAAATGCTTACTGGATGAATGACTATAAGCAGAGGCTGTACATTCTGTCAGTTAACAGGGTAAACAACTCTCACACACCTCTTCTGTGTGAATACAAACAGCTTGACACACACACACACACTGGACACACACTCAGCAATGAGAATAACTGATCAATAACGCTCACACGGTTATACAGCTTGTTTCATTTCTCACTTAATGAAGTGAGAAATGAAGCATTTAAAAAACACATATTAATAATAAGAAAAGGGTATTCACATTAAAGGTAGCATATAATTATGATATTCTTATTCCTTGGGCTTGAAAAATACACTTCTGTGATATATTAAAATACTGTGCAATTTTTTCTATGTTGAAACTTGAATAAATTACAGACATATTCAGACCTATCACTCTAGACCTGTGTGAGGTGGCAGCTTTGTGATTTTCAGTTTTCTTTTGAAGAAAGTCTGTATTTTCTGCCCTAGACTGTCTGCCATACAGTACGGACAATTTCAGTGTGCACGATATGTACAGATGTGTGTGCACGTATGTCCTCTCCTCTTTTGGTACAGCTGTGCCAAATACCAGACACACACTCCAGCTGACACGTTGACCCCTCACCTCTCACCTCTACACAACAAGCACATTGTTAGACACACAGAGCAAGAGGGACATGCAATATTGACCTGCATGTTAACACACACACAAACACACACAGATGCACAAATTCATCTGAACACCAATTTTTGTGTCAATATTTGAGTCTCCTGGCATTTTGAAGAATAAGCAAAGATGGCAGGATGTTTGGGGTCATATATTTCAGAAAGTTGAATTTATTTAAATCCTGAAAAGCGTAAACTAAGCACCAGTTGTTCCTCACTCACCAGCTGTGTGCCCATCCTCCCAGCTGACCACGATTGCTAGGCGTACGAGC